ATTGAATAAAATATCTCGCTTAAAATTTAATAATCAGGATAATATTAAATTACTTTATGTTTTTCAAAGAAATGAGACTGATTATAAACAAGCAACACAATACGACCATTGACTTCAGCAATTGATTCCAATGTAACTTCATCTTGATAACCCTATGAAATAGAAATGACATTAATTAAATTAACAAAATAATAATAATAATATTTATAATGCCATAACTTATATTTACATGATATTTAATTCCTTCAAGAGTCAAACGATGAAAGTTAGTATGTAATGTTTCATCAACCAGCACTCCTCGAACGTACGACATTTGACATTCCGGACATGTATATGCACCAAAATCCTTTTGTCCAATGTCAATATAAGTTTGTTCATAACTTTTAACGCGTTTTTTAGGCCGTGATGATGAATTATTTTCAGCATTCTCTCTATTCCCATCATTAATTTTATTAAATCTCGGAATAGTAGCATATTTTTTCTTCTTTTTACGTTGATTGTTATTTAATTCAACTGATACAGGTTTAAAAAAATCTCCTATACACTTTTGTTTTACTACTATCCCAGAATTTCTTTCTTGTTTTACATTTCCCATATAAGAATCATTAAATTCAACGGCAGGTAATACAGATCCAGTTGTAACACGTCTTTTAGGTCTTATGAAATGTGCACCAATTTCAATACACTCATCATTAAGCTTAACAGTCGAGAAACTGTCAGTAATAATGCGCCTATTTGATTGTATCTGTTCATCAAATTCTACGCGCTCATTTAAGGTATTTTCCTTGTTAAAGTTACTTTCAATGTTGGTCACGTCTCTAAGTAACAATGAATTGTCTCGTAAAGGACTATATTTTAATTAAATGTTCTAGTTAATGTTATAAACACGTAAAAATTCTATATTAAAGTGATTTTATACCTTAAAGTTAAATCTGTTACATCTTTGCGTTTACCATAAGTCACTTTCACCTCTGGCTTTCTATAGTTATTATTTTCAAACATTAATTTACAATAATCAATAAGCGAGAACACGAAAATAATTACCTTGTTAGTGCCATTCTTTCACTTAAAGTCCTCGATATTGTTAAGTAATAATATTTTCTCGCAAGATAATTTTTCTGCTTATTAAACTTAAGCTTCTTGCAATTTTACGGTAGATAATTTTGTGAAATATGATTTTTTTTGAATTCTCGATAGAATTCGACTAGCTTTTATCTAATTTTCATTACTTTTATATTCTTTGCTCAACAAACTTTTCCACGTGATTTCTTACCAAAGACGCGTAAAAAAAAATTTTTTTCCGTGCTTATTAGGTTACACGGAAATCTCTACGTGTCTAATGAAAATAACTAACATCTTAGATTAGATCTAGTTATTTTTGAAGGTGATCAAATTTACTTTATTAATTTTATACTTATAAATTTATTTAAGTATATCGATATAGTATTAATTTTTATTATTTAATTAATTATTACTTTATTGATAAAATTTAATTAATCTATTACTATAAAAAGTAATAGAAGTTTTTTTTTACTTTCTACTAATTTAAGATTCATTATTTTTAAAAAATTTTAAATCTTCACTAGAAATTATCTGATTGTTAAGAAAAAAAAGTTATTGTGCCGCTTTTTTAATGTTAATTAATTCTAATTTTGGTTTATTATCTGATATATATTATTTATTACATTATATACAAGGAAACCATTCTAATAAGGAAAATAGTTACACAATTTTTGCTTTCTTACTATACTATTCTAATATATATTGAATCCTTTTGAATTTCACAACCTTTATATTACAATTAATTATGTAAAACATGTTTAAGAATAAGTATTATATAGTATATCAAATCACTGAATCAATTAAATTCTGTTTATTAAAAAGAGAAAATTGGAAAAATAAAAGTAAGTTAGGTAAAAAGTAGTATTTTTTGTAATATTTATTACATATGGCTTGTAGAAATCCTTTAAAAGAAGTATTGAAAAAGCAAAAATCATAGACAAAGAAAATATGAATTTAGACATAATTGGTTGAAATATAAATATTGACCTCACTTGAGCTATCAAAATAATAGCAAATTCTTTTACAAAAGAAAGTATTTAAAAAAAAAAGATTTTATTTATGCATTTGATGAAATGCAAAGAATATTTTAGAAATTTGAACTGAGTTTAACTGATTTTTTTGATCAATTTTATTCAGCAGTTTGACTTTTTAAATATAATAAATAAATAATAGATTATATAAAAAGTTTAATAGTGCTTATATGTTATCTTCTTATTTTATTAAACAATACTAAAATAAATTGTTTTAAAGTCAACCTTACATACTATTGAGATTTAATAAATACAAATAATAAAGGCCTAAATATAATAAAAATCTTAGTATATCTATTATAACAAGAATAGTAAATTATAAAAAAAAGAAGAAGTCAGATATACATAAAGAAAATATTGAAAATTCTCTTAAAAAATATTTAAAATGGCTTTATATTAAATATTAATAATTTATAATATTTATATTCAAAAATAAACTAATACTATTAATGAATAGCTTACATTATTATGATTTTAACTAACCTTTATTCTACACTAGTGATTTTATATAATAGAGCAATCAATTCAAAATCACTGATAGCAAATTGATTTAAGATATATTGATAGATGATTTATTATAAATCTTAGTATTTTCTATTATGATTATATAAGAGATTATATAGTAAAAGATGTTGATAATAAGATTTTTATAGATAAACTAATAATATACAATTATAATAACTAGCTGATAATAAAAAGAAATAATTATATATAAAATACAATTTTTATTGACTTTATTAAAAACAATTTAAAAAGCATAAAAGATTATATAAAAGTTCTTAAATTATGAATAATCAATAACTAATACAAAGTATTTATTTAACTATATATAGTCAACTCTTGATATAGTGAACTCTTGATATAACAAATTTTTGAACAAATTTAATAAAAATACTTTTATTATAGCGAATTGGCCAATAAAATCTCTTAAAATCTTTATTATAGCCTTATAACGAAGTTGAGGTTTAGGATATAGAGTTCATTATAACAAGAGTTAACTATAATTTCTATTATTACAAACTGATTTGATCAATTATTTATTTGAAAAGCTATTACACATCAACTTTTCTTTAATAACAAAACTATTTTTTTATTTATCATATCATTTGTATATATTATAAGCTTTTTTCATATATTTTTAAATTTTCATAAACTTATTTTTATAAACAAGCATTATTAATAATTTTTTAGATATTTTTTATTAAATAGAGATTAATTATCTAATAATAGGTATATTTACTAATCATCTTACATTTCTTAGTAATTACCTTATAAAAATTATTCACAGTATTATCTGATAATGCATTACTAAATTTTTTATATTTAAACAACTATAGAAAGAAATACGCTTTATTTTCAATATCAACAGAATAATAATTTTAATAACATTTTGTAGATTATCCATATTAATTAAAACAATTATAAATACTTTCTCAAAAGTATATAATATTACTTTTAAATGTATTTATAAAGATATATTATATGTATTATTAGTATCCTTTTATTATAACTCTATTTAAAGATAATATTAATTCTATAAATTGCTTTTATTAAATTATAAAGTAACTGATTGCTACTTTTTAAGAAGTTTTATCACTTCTAGAAAACTAAATATAACTATTTATGTAACTATATATATTGTAATTCTGCTAATAATTATTTAATGATAATGTTTTGATATACAGGTTTAGTTATCATAGTTCATATTTGCAAAAATGCTATTTAAATATTTAATATATAAAGATTACTTTTAGGGTGAAGTTAAAAAAATATCAATATTCAAATGATAAATTTTTGAAGATAGAATTAACTTTGAAAGAATTTATTCATGATAATAAAATTAAAATTAAAAATAATTTAAATGATATAAAAAAAAATAACAAATGATGATGTATTAACAAAAGATTTATTTGGAGAATATAAAAAAATCATTTATAAAATTATAATTTTTATTTTTTATTTTTAATAAAATTAATTAAATTATTTTAATC